TGGGAAAAATTGTCACTCACGGACCCTAACAGAAGAATCTCACTGGAGGGGCTCCTGGGTGGCTCCATCGGTTAAGCGTCTCAGGTCATGATCTCAGGGTTCTGGGATCAAACCCCACAGTGGGCTCTCTGCTCAGCAGGGAGCGGCTTCTCCCTCTGCCCCTGCTCGTGCTCCCTCTCTCTCTCTCTAACTAATAAATAAAACCTTTAAAAAAAATCTCATTGGAAAGAATTATCAATGACAGGCCTCAATGGGAAAAATGACTTGCATCTCCTACAAGAAATCGACCACCCCTGCAACTCAGTCAATGAGAAGCCATCATTATCCTAAACTCTTGTTTCTCTCCAATGGACTTTTGTCCAAAACAATTCCTCCCGACTCCTCCTTCTTCTCCATAAAAATAATGCTTTTCCCCTAGGTTTGCTGGACTCGCCTGTGGTTTTCACCACAGCTTGCTAGTCCTGGATTGCAATTCTCTGCTCTTCTCAGATTCATCTTTTGCCAGTAACATAAATGGTAAGGTACAGAGAGTTCCCAAAAGCATCCTGCCCCCCACACAGGTAGAGGCGCCCCTCCCATATCCACACACCCCACCGGAGCAGCACATTTGTAACAACTGCTTAACTTATAGTGACACATTATTACCCAAAGTCCCCCAGCTTCCATTAGATCTTACTCCTGGTGTTGGGATTTTCTGTAGATCTGGACACATTTATACTGCCACATAGCCATGGCTAGAGTCTCATACAGAGTAATTTCACTTAAAAATTCCTAAAAATCCACTTTCACTTGCAACCAGTGTCCTGGGTGAGGGAGCAGAATGGACTGTGCCCATAAAGCAAGCAGGAAAGACAGGACCCAACTGAAGATCTCCTAGTCCTCTAATCCTGTTCAGCCAAAGCGGTCCCCATTATGGGACACCGGAGGGTACAGATGGTTCTTTTTCAGTGATGACATCCAGTGGCTTACCCACCGGGCTCAACACTCTCCCCAAATCTTGGCTTCAGTGTGTCCCACCTGCAGGCAAAGTTGACTTCCTTGGGTTGCTGAAAACAGGTGACAAAATAATAATATTTTTGTGGTTTTACTAGGCAAAGTCCCGTGAACTAGAGGAGGGGCGAGGCTTTATTTATCTTTGTATGTCATTGCCTAGCATACAGTATGTCCCCCAAACTTGCTCAGACGGGAATGAGAGAAGCCAGTGCCTTCCCGGGTTTCCCAACATGGCCAGTACCTTCTCTTCCTTTTCCACACATTAATTCAGTTCCGCAATTCTTGTTATGGGTTCTTAGGATATCACGTCTGCGCTGAGCTGTGTAAGGAGGGAAACAGACCCTATTATCCGTCTACAGAGAAAATGGAGAGCTAGTACAGGGATAACTGGTCTCCAAGTTCTTTCTACAATGCGGGTGGTCCTCTACTCTCTCTCTAGCATCTTCCATGACCACTTGCGCACTAAGCTGTGATAGTTTTCCAAAGGCTGACTTCCTCCCACCCAGCCTTCCCAGCAATTGTAAGAGTATTTCCATCCATGCTTAAAGTAACATATAAAAAGTCAGGGGCTCTGTGAGGCTGCTGTTTTTTAGTTCTTTAGAAGGCATTTAAATGAACCCAAACAAAAAATGTATATAAGGTTTTGCAGACAACTGTATCTAAAGATTCTCATGTCTTCCCCCACCCAGAGCCCCAGCCCTGGGTTTTCCCTTTGGCCTCATTTCAGGGGCAAAGGCTGGAAAACCACTTCTGGCCAGAAATGTCCAGAAGTCCGGCATTATCCTGACAGCGCCAGAGCGGACTTGGGCTTGAGTGTTTTGGAAAGTACTTCCATGGAAAAAGTGTGTCCTCTCAGCAGTTACAAAAGCCCTTTGTGCCCTGACAATGGTCAGGGCTATCACTTCCTCATTCAGCAAACCCCAAGAGAAGATAGGATCCCGCAGATCAAGTGCTGAGACCTGGTCTTAAATCTCTTCATTCCTGGGGCCCGTTTTAGTGGAGGAGGAGGTCTGGGAGGTTAAAGACACGGCTGGGGGCATCACAGGCGCTGAATAAAGCCTCACTAGACCAAGGTGTTGCTTGCTGTGCTTCGCCTCGAAGAGCGAGAATAATTTCAGAAGCGGGCAAGGGCAGAAATTTGGTCACAGTAAGTCAAAAGTTGGCTTCGAGGTGAACTGGAACAGTAAGTGAAACTACAAGTCTAATTCCCAGAAGGACAGTCACGAGGCTGGGGGATGACAGTTCAAGGGGAGTGTTTTTATTCATTTTCCCATGAGAAAGATGGGAGCACAACTTTAAAGGGAGAAGAAAAACACGACCCCTGTCACGTGCCCCCACCATTTGGTTAGCTTTTTGAATTCATTACTCATTCAATAATTTTCTTTTTATTGAGCGCGAACCGTACGTGAGGAACGCTGTAGATCCCAGGAGTAATTTGGTGAATGAAACAGAGAAAGCCCCTTCGCTCAAGGAGACCGTGTCACCCAAACTTGATTCTTCAGCAAACTCTGGAAATTTCTTGAAGGAGGGCTCCCTGAGCTGCTCGGAGTCTGGCCTGTGCCTGTGTGTGCCCTGCCCGTGAACGAGGCACGCAGCATTTGGAGAGGCACGCAGCATTTGGACCGGTGCTTTGAGCGATCTAGCCTGGGGCCGCGTGTGCACTAGCCTGGGGCCGCGTGTGCACTTGGCTCTTCCTGCAGGACAAGGCCCAGTCTTCTGTCTTTGCATCCTCAGCCTGGCAAAGTGTGCACCGGGGAGAGGAAGACAGAATCCAGGAAATGAGTCAATTTCCAAGAGAGCTTACAACTGCTTGTTTGTCGTTAAGCCCGGAAGGCTACTCATGGGCGAAGCCTGGTGCTCAAAGTCCCAGAGAAGCGGGGACCTGGGCAGAGCTGAGAGAAGGACCCTGATCTCCTAATAGCGACTCTGGTGCTTGGCTACAAGCATCCTGCCAACTGAATGCTTCCATCTTAAATAAATGACTATTGCTATAAGATTCTTTTTGTGCCATGCCTGAAAGATTAGAGAATGGCAAGAACAAGAAGACGCTTAGAAGAGGGGCACCTAGGGGGCTCAGTGGGCTAAGCGTCTGCCTTTGGCTCAGGTCATGATCCCAGGATCCTGGGATCGAGACCCCATCGGGCTTCCTACTCAGTGGGGAGTGCTTCTGACCCTCCTCCCTCTTGTGCTCTCTTTCTCAAATTAAAAAAAAAAAAAAAAAAATCATTAAAGAAAAAAGAGAGAGAGAGAGAAGATATTTAGAAGAGAGATACTTCAGGAATTTTTCCCAGTGAGATTTGACGAGATACCACTGTTGACTGAAATCACCAACTTCCTGAAAATACTCCGGGTCCACCCAGAAGGTAATCTTTCCTTCCTCCCTATCCTGATTACCCACGCAGGGAGCAGCGGAATCTTCACTTCTTGGAATCTGGGTTTGGAGCGGGTAGTTTCCAGTCTCAAGAGCCTGGGGGGGGGGGGGGGGGGGGGTGGCAGGCAGCAGAGCAATGGTGAGTTCACACTGCCCCCTGCTGGCCGCTCTCCCCCTACGCGGAGCACATACTTGTCCAACAACTTCTCCTGCTCCAGTAGAAAAAGAAAAACAGCAGAATGCCCCCACAAAAGTCAAATGTCTTTATTTTATATAAAAAAAATTTGTACAGTTTTAGTTCCTATGTTTAAGAAAAAAAAAACCCCTAAAATTGCCATTATGTTTCGATCCACTGCAAACTGTAAAAACAAGCTTTTTATATATTAAAAAAAATTTACATTTTACAATTTTCTACATGCATGCACAAGGTCGCTGTAACCCAAAAAAAGAAAAACGAAAAAGAAGAAGAAAGAAGAAGAAGAAGAAGAAGAAAGAAAGAAAGAAAGAAAGAAAGAAATGAAAAAAAAAAGAAAAAAAAAAACCTAGATTCAACAGTGGCCAATTCTACATTTACAATCTCACTTGGAAGGGACCCAAAACAAGCCCCCTTCCTTTCGCGCACAGAACAACAGATCACAACAGTCATACACCAGGACGGAATCCGTCAGCAGATGCTGCCCTGGGGGAAGGGCAGGGGAAAGAGAAGACAGACAGACAGACGGACGGACGTACAGCGCAGAGGGGTGAGGGAGCTCCTCGGGCCCCACAGAGAAGCGCAGACTCTGGGAAGGGGTATTTCAGATGAGAAGGTTCTGAGGGGTCCCACTGCCTCTTCACAGGTACCGTGGCAGGGTTGGGATGTGGAGCGCGAGATAAAAGGCTCAGATGGGACAGAGATGGGCGGAAACAAGGAAGGATCAAAAAGAAAAAAAACGAGTCAACGGAGCACGAAGGGTCGTGTAAGAGAAATGGGACCCATGGGGACAGGCGGCGTGGCGAGGTAGGTGAAGGCCTGACATGCAGCGTCCCCGGGGCGCTGGTGGCGGGGAGCTGGGGAATGCTGGAGACCCGGCCACACGCCCGCCCAGGGTCCTGGGGGAGCGGTGAGGGGCCACAGGTAGGTGTGGCCCCCACAGGAGAAGAGGAAACCCCAGCGTGGCAGGAGCGGAGGAGCAGGGGGACAGTGCCCAGAGGGCCTGGGCCCGCGGCGCGCCCCGCAGCAGTTCACAGCATGAAGACAGCTCCCCGTGCGGAGAAGCAAAGGACACACACAGCCGAACACTTGACAACTCATCCTGACATTTTAAAAAAAAATAATTATTATTATAATAATCGTCAAAGAAGACAAAGATACCACAGTTCCGACGCAAAGGACCAAAACACTACCGTTCTCAGTCACAGCCCTTAGTGCTTAGAGAGTTGGGGGAAAGTTTGCTTTTGTTTTCGGAAAAAGGAATGAAAAAATCACAGTGATTAAAAACATGGCAGGTTCTGAAAAGAAACACTCCCCCACCCCTAACGTAGGGCCACAACGAGGATCCCAGATACCTTCTGTCTGCCCGCCCAGCCGGGTCTGTCCATCACACCACACCCCGCTCCTGCCCACCATCCAGGCCCCATTTTCCAGGATAGTGAGGTATTTCGAAATGCGACCCAGGAGGGACTCCTCGGAAACCGGTCCTTGAAGAGAACAAAAGATACCTTCCCGCAACCCCCAGGACAGGACGTCTTTCCCTCAGGCACTGCCTAAGTCAGGCCCCAACCCACTGCCGGGAGGACAGCGGTCAGCACAAGCCGAAGAGCCCTTGTCTGGGAGGTGGTGGGTGGACAGATGTGCTTTCTCCGAGAGGATAGGGGAAAGGCCAACAGGAGGGCTGCCCTTCCACAGGCAGGAAGCTTCCCCGGCCAGAGACCAGTGGGGATCTGAGCCCAGGGGGCACTCCGCGTGCCCAGAACCAGTGAGTCTGCCCGAAGATGGGACCGGGAAGGGGCCCGGCGAGTTACTCAGAGGCCCGGCCCCGGGGGGCACCCTCCAGCCCTGCCGCCAATGGTCTGCCACGGGGATCCCAGCTGGAGGTTCCAGTTCCCTTGGCTAAAACTACATATCTGAGTGAAAGGCTCAGATTTACATTGAAAATATGTCTTAGAAGACCGGTGAATTTTGCTCAAAAAGAGACCTAAACTCTAGAGAATTCAGATCGGATGTAGAGACTACAGAAGCTCGACAGGGCGAGGGACAGATACCCACGAAGGCGGCGATCCTGGCCCCTCCCCCCAGCACTGAGGGAGACAAGCGCCCAGAGAACCAGGCAGGGAGACAGGAGGGGACCCTGGCCAGCCAAGGAAAAGAGACCCCTGAGGCAAAGAAGTGGGCTTAAGGCAGGGGATGAGGAGGAACTACCGGCTCCCCCCCAAACGAGATGAGGCAACAGGTCCCTGGCGCAGAGAGAAGACACACGGGGGTGTGGGGGGGTCAGGGAGGAAAGAAAAGCATTGGTCTAAGACCGCAGGGGTCATCAGGTTATGGGCGGCAAGCCACTAAATCAGGGCTGGCGTCTACTCGCCATCCTGCCCCAGGAAGGGGAAACCTGGCCCAGCAAGGCAGGAACGAGGGTACAGGCAGGTTCAGGGTGGGGATCCGCGATGTTCCCCAGGGTCTCTCCCACCCTTCCCTCAGTGGCTGCCCAGCACGAACCCAGTGAGGGAAGGCACCATCCCCCACGGCCTAGGAAAGGTGGTCACAGAGGGTTTCTGCCTAGTCTGGCTATGGTCGCAGGAGACCATATGACTCAGAGACAGAAGGCAGAGACTTTAGGGGTAAAGGGCAGAATCTCCCCTTGCTCTGAATGTGTGTGGCTGTGCAGGGGAGGCTCCGACAGACAAAGCCAGTGACCACGGCAGGGAGACCCCCGACCCGGGCCGAGTCAGGGGGACGCATGGATACCCTGCCCCGAGGACTCAGCGATGGTACCGGGCCAGCTGAGTGGGCAGGAGGAGTGGACGACCCCCCATCTGGAAGTTTGGCACGGTGGCTCTCTGGAGTCATGTCTGGGCCCCCGGGACATCTCATCGGGGCCACAGGCGGAAACTGCTACCAGAACCTGGTTTGGGGGGTGCTGGGGGCTCAGGGGGGCCCTGTCCCCTCTCAGGAGAGACCACCATCCGGGAGGGAGAGAGGGAGAGGCGCGGATTCCTGCACGACGGCACCAAGTGAGGGCTGGGGACTGAGAGCGAGCTTCCCAGGCTCTGCTGACGACAAAGGGGCCTCTTGAGGCTCCCGTGGGGCAACCAAGGAGGAAGGGGCAGACGGGCAGGGAGTCAATTCAAGTAAAAGGAAATGGGGGCAGGGGCCGAAGGGCGGCAGGAGACGGGGCCCGCGCCCCCGGCCCCGCGGCTCGGTCACACCGAGGTCTCCGACTGCAGCCTCATGACAAACTTGTGCGACTTGGGATCCACAAACTCCTCGGAGAGTTTGAAGAAGGGGACCTTCTTGGTGCTCACCACCAGGCTAAAGTCCTGGCGTTTCAAGAGGAAGACGATGCCGTCCTTGAGCCCATTGGTCACCGGCTCCTCGCTCACCAGCGTCCACTGTTTGGCCAGCCAGCGCTCCTTGTGGTACTGAATGGTGGGTCCGGCCGCCAGGTACCGCTCCAGGAAGGCCTGCGGGGGGCCAGGGGCTACATGGGCGTCTCTCCCACCCACCCACCACCTCATGCCCCCAACCCGGGGGCACGGCTTCCAGAGACAACCACGAAATCCCCCAGCTCACGCTCTGCTTCCACACCGTCTACGACAGAGCAGAAAGGGGCAGAGCTCCTCTGCTTCAGACCCTCGTATGGAACACGGGGAAGCGGAGCCCACAGAAGAGGGGGGTGCCCCCAGGGTCAGGACCTGCGCCCTGCCACTTGCCTGCACCAGGGTAGGCCACAAGCCCCCCAGGTTCTTCCTTCCCCTGCCATCAGCTCTCACGGACGCTGTCACCCTGCTCACCGAGGGTGGCTCAGGACACAATTCTAGGGGGCTGACAATCCAGCAGAGGGGAGGGTAATGGCTCAAAAAAAGCACAAAGGGGGTGGTGAAGGGGCAGGGGAGACTCGGTACGGCAACCGCACAGAACTTGGAGAGATGGGAGTCAGATCTCAGCGGCCCTGGAAGAGTCCAGAAGCCGCCCCTGCTCCTCTGCACCTGTGAACTTGACTCAGAGCTGAGATGGGGGGGCAGGGATGACAGATGAGGCCACGATGGGGGGGGGGGAGTAGAAGGCAGGGCCGCGGGGCGGGTGCAGTGAGAGCACGGTGGGAAGGTGGGCAGAGCAGGGAGCAGCAGGATGCTGGCGGCAGGGTGGGCCTACCTTGGGCGTCATGTCGTGAGTGATGCAGAACTCCAGGTGCTGGAGGATGCTCTCCATGGTGTGGTAGGGCTGTTGCTTGGTGGTGCGAAGGTACTTCTGCATGGCCCGGGCCATGGAAGCAAAGATGGCCTGCGCCGCCTCCCGGGGGTCCATCACCTCCCTGGGGTTCTTCTGCTCCTCCTCCTGCAGCCGCTTAATGTGAGTGAAGGCCTCCTCCACCGCCACCACGAGCCTGGGGGACAGGAGGGGCCTGGACCACACGCCCACCTCCCATCTTTCCCTCGGCTCCAGCCCTCCAGCAGCCTGAGCGAGGTCAGGGCTCGGGGTGGGGAGACCCGGAAGCACACAAACCCACCTGAGCCAAGGGCTGGGCTATGGGGGTGTGGGGGGGGTGTGCACACACACGGTGCAGTGGCAGGTGGGAGGCAAGGCAGGAAAGAGCTATAGAGCTCTGGGAGCGGAGCGCAGGGACTCCAGTGTCAAAGCCAGAGACCGCTAGGGCCTGGGCTCAGGGAGAGCAGCAAGCCTCGCGTGCAGCGGCCGTGCTGCCCGAGACCCCCCGTCACGCTTCGCTGGGCAACAAACGAACAGGCACAGAGCAGGGGCAACACTGACATCCATCTGGGGGGTGGGTTTGCAAGGAACTGACTACAAACCAGGAAGAGAAAGGCAAGAACACGAGGGCCGGATGGCAGAGGTGAGCCCACCATTCACAAGAGACCTGGACGGCTACAGACACGCGAAGCCCTCCCCGACTGGCCACCAGACAGAGAATGAAAACGTCCGCGTCCATCGAGACAGGCAAAGAGGGAAGAGGACTGTAATCCAAATACGGCCGAGGAGGCGGGAGTCACCCGTCACCCACGGCGGGCGCAGCGACGAGATGCTACACGCCGGACCTGCCGCAGCAGGGGTGCGTCTCAAGAACCGTGTTAAGGGGAAGCAGGGGAAAGAAGTCAATCTGCGTTACAAGCATACAGGGGTGCCCTGTGGCTCAGTCGGTGAAGCATCTGCCTTTGGCTCAGGTCATGAGCTCAGGGTCCAGGGATCGAGCCAGCATTGGGCTCCCTGCTCAGCGGGGAGGCAGCTTCTCCCTCTGCCTCCACCCCTCCACTCATCCGCCCTCCCTCTATAATAATTAAATAAAATCTTAAAAAAAGAAATGGCACTGCTGGTCTTTGACCTATGGCAGGGGACACCAGCCTCATGTCAGGACAAAAGGGATAACTTCCTCCCTTACAGCCTGGAGACCGTTGGAGGAGGGGCAGAGGGCACAGTGGGTGGTCAGATCCCGGGGCGCGCTCTCCTGCCGCAGGCCCCATGGAAATCCCAACAAGCCGTGGTGGGACACGGCAGCAGCAGGTACCAAGAAAGACTCTTCAGGCCTGACTTAATTGTACGTAATAATGCGGACAGGACAAAGGGAGGAGTGAGGACAGTACCACAGAATGTACCAAGATCTCAGCGCCAGAACCTCATTTTTTGCAGGTCAAAGGAACCATCAGCTGAGCAGGCCTCCAAGAGCTACTGCTCGGAGGCCCAGTCCAGCCTCAGGCCCACTGCTGTGGGCAAGGCTCCCACGGTTTGCCAGGTCCCTGCTGCATGGTGGGGGGCAGACTTCTGAGATGCCCCATGCCTTCGCCTCCAGCAGATTCCCTACTCCTGGGTATTCCACTCGCTCGGGACATTTTGCAAATATAATTGCAGCGCGGAGTCAGTGGACGCGAACATCATAAAACAAGGAGATGACCCTGGCCAGCCTGATCTTATCCAATAAGCTCTTTAAAAGAATTTTCTCCAGGAGGTAGAGACGATGCTGGAAACATCGAACTGCCCGATCCCGACTGCCCGTGAGGCCAGGTGACAAGGAACTGATTCCAGGGGCCTGGGAGCTTGGAAGAGGACCCAGGCTCAGGTGGGAGTGGTCCTGACCTTGGCCTGACACAGACCGAGGACCTGACCTGCGGGACTGTGAGCCGAGAAGCGTGCGCGGGTTTACAGAGCACAGCACGGGGGTCTGTCCCGGCAGCCGCAGGACACAGACGCTCAGCCCGCAGCCCTCGTGCCAGGCACAGATGCCCGCCCGCACCCAGCCGGCGCCCGGACCCACCTGGCCCGCCGCTTGCGCACCCTCCGCTCGTGCTCTGCCTCCTCGTAGTAGTACTCGTTGTGGCTGTTGTCCCGCCTCCGAGCAGCTGCCGCGATCACGGCCCGAGACTGGCCCGTGGAGTTGTTGGTGCTGTTTTCTGCACAGGAGCAGGACAGGTGGGCACGGTCACCTCTCAGTGCGCTGGCTCCCCATCCCGGGAAGTCTGGAGACAGCAACCTCACATGTCGTACGAGGCTGTGCCCACACCCGCGATACAGCTGGCACCCCCAACCTTCCTGGCCACAGCTGGAGGAGCCCACAGCACGGCCACCAGGAGGGCCCTGGAGGGCAGGAGTCCTGACGTGCTCCCCCGGTGCAGGGGAACCTGGAGCTCAGAAAGCCGAGGGCTCAGAACCAGGGCCGGTGAGCAGAGAAGTCAGAATGGGGGGACGGGGGGTAACACGCCACAGCACGGGGGGACAGCAAGCCTCCGCCTGGAGTCCCGGGAAATGACAGAAGGGACCGGGTAAAGCAAGGGAAGAGGCTGAGAGGAACGGGGAGCAGGTACCGCGCCCTGCCTGGGGTGCACAGGAGGGCGGGGAGCAGGGCCGCTCACCCTCTCCGAGGGAGTACACCTTGAAGCCGGACACTTTCTTGGCCAGGACGGACTTGGGCAGGTTGAGGAGAGCGGGGTTGTAGACAGGGAAGTCGTGGTAATACTTCTCCAGGATCCACACAGCCACTCGCTGGATGCTGTGGGGAGACGGCGGGAGGGGGACAGAGAAGGGACCGACAGGGGTGCCGGGGAGAGAGACATCAGGGCAGGTCAGCAGGGCAGGAAAGGACAAGCACAGGGACAAGCTGCTTCCAAGAAGCCTGGCTCAGGGCCCAAGGTCGACTTACCAGGCTCGCAAGCCTTCCCCGGGGGCCAGGGCCTGCTAGTCCTTCCCTGCTGCACTGAAGCCCAGGAAGAAAGGGCACGGGGCCTGGATCCCCACAAAGGACCACCCAAGAGTCCCCCAAGATTCCCTCCGGGACCAGGAGGTGCTCCAGATAACAACGCATGGCCCAGGGGGAGGGGCAGAGGAACTCTCCCGTTATCTCTCCCTCTGGGGGTCCGTCCTCCGGTCAGTTCATCCCAGCGACTGCGCACTTGAGGGCTCACCAAGGCTGTGCCTCCAAGAAGGCCAGGGAAGTGATTCCCAAAATCCCCTGTTCACGCCCCACACCTTTCTCCTCTTTGGTCCAGCCCTCTCTGAGGTCCCCAGTGGCTCACTGCTTGTTCTCTCCCCATTCCCAACTCCCAGCCCCACCTGCCCCAGGACCCTGCGCTGCTGAAAACCTACTGCGGCCTGCGGCCCCCCAGCTCCTCACCACCGCCCCCACGCCCGGCTCTCTCCCATGCGCCCTGCAGACCCCCAGCCTCCCCTCAGGCCCGCGCCCACACCTGAGGTGGCCCACGTTGTAGAAGCGGCTGGCGCCGTCGGTGGAGCGCACGACCTTGAGCGTGAACTGGGGCTGCAGCTGGCGCAGCTCCAGCAGGACCACGGCCAGGTAGTGCACGAAGAGCAGGGCGTCCACAAGCGACACGGCGAACTGGACGACGCCCTGGTAGCTGCGCTCGCGGGCGTCCAGGATGCGCACGCCGTAGAAGAGCCAGTAGGACACCACGAGCAGGAAGACCAGCACCATGAGCAGTGCGCGCAGCACGAAGACGCGCGGCAGCGAGGCCTTGGGCCGCCGGAAGAACAGGGCCCAGCTGCCCAGCAGCAGGATGAGCAGCTTGAAGGCCACGGAGATGAAGAGGCCCTCGCAGGCCGTCCCGCAGGGCTCTAGCTCCTCCCGCCACAGCAGCGGGGGCAGCAGCAGGAAAGCCAGTGGCGTGAGGAAGGAAAGCAGCGCCAGCGTGGCCCCTGCTGCCACACCCAGGTGACGGGAGCAGTCCAGCGGGACACTGTCCTCCATGTCCTTGGCGATGCGCGTGAGGTCATCGTGGGAGATGCTGTGCTCTGAGGTGCCCGTTACTACTGTGGTCGTCTCCCCCCAGTTGTCATCCTATAGCAGGAGGGGCAGAGGCATTGAAGGGGGGTTGGGGAGGAGGAGCGGGAGGGAGAAGAGGAGGGGGAAGAGAATGGAGGGGGAGGAGAAGAAGGGAGAGGAGGAGGGGGTAATGAGGGGGAAGAGGAGGTGGAGGAAAGGAAGAGGAGAGGGAGGTGGGGGAGGAGGAGGGGAGAAGGGGAGGAGACAGGAGAGATAGGGGAAAGGAAGGGGAGGAGTGGGGAGGAGCAGGGAGGGCGGACAGACAGCAAAGCACAAGAGAGAAGAGACGGCCATCAGCCCATGTGCAACCACCAAAGCATTACCAAGATCCACTCTGGCCAAGCTTGGCCTCTGCAGGGCTGGGACCTCTGAGACCTGGACCAAAGGGCACAAAGCAAAGAACTTGGGAAAGAACACTGATGCCTAGATCTCACCCAGGAGGAAAACCACCTTTTTAAAAAAAGAAAACAGATGATTTGGGGGCACCTGGGTTGCTCAGTCAGTTAAGCATCTGACTTCAGCTCAGGTCATGACCCCTGGATCCTGGGGTCCAGCCTTCCCCACAGTGGAGAGTCGGCTTCTCCCTTTTCCTCTGCCAATCCCCCGGCTCATGCTCGCTCACGCTCTCTCTCAAATAAACAGAATCTTTAAAAAAATAATAAACAAAAACCCGATGATTTTCATGTTCATCCAAAACTGAGAATCACTGAATTCACTCAACAATCCCTAAGTCCTATTTACCCATAACAGGGTCTGTGGACCAGCAGCGCGGACACCTCCTGGGAGCTGCTGGAAATGCGCATCTCGGGCCCCAGCCCATGCCGACTGGGCTGGAACCTGCATTTTAACAAGGCCCCCATGAATCACTCAAACGTTTGGGGGCTGGCAGGGGGAGCTGAGGCGCCCCGAGGACATGCAGGGTGCACGTGCCAGGAGGAGAGTCAGGCACGGCCAGCTGGAGCGGGAGCAGGCCACGTGCAAACTGGGCTAAGCCAGAAGCACCACTCCCCAGACCTCGAGAGCCACTTTAGATTTCTGACTAAGGGGTGACCTGAAACAAAGCAGTATGGCAAAGGCCAGAGGACCCTGGGGGGCAAGGAGGAGGAAGGCAAGTGATCAGTGTAGGGCATGAAGACAGACACACTTAGGGCCACCCCAGGTCTCTGGTCGGCCTGCAGCACAGCAGCTGCCTGTTGCTGGAGGCAAGGGGGTAGACGGGCTGAGGTCCCCAGTGTCCTTCGGAGTGGGGTTCACTCAAGCAATCTGCTGCGGCCAAACACCATCCCACAGAGGAGCCCCCAGGGCCCAGGGGCCATCAGTGCCCACACTCTTCACTCCTGGACAGCATGGGGACAGCGTCTCAGGACTAGGACACCGACGGGGGGGTGTAGGAGATGCCTGGCAGGGTCAGTGACTGGGCCTTCCGAAGGATGGGAGGAGAGTCTGATCTGATGAAAGGAAGTGTGTGCACTGACCACGTTCAGCTCGAGGAACTGGGTCTAGTCCTCACTCTAGGCTGACCCGCAGACACGCTGCCTACCCTCTCCAAGCATCAGGGGTTTGTGGCCTCCTCCCCCACAGCAGGTGAGCTGACCATGTCTCGGGGTCCCTTCAAGAACTCAGGAGGCCAGGTCTCAGGGAGAGGACAGGACTGGGAAAGAGGGAGAAAGAATACTTCCCTTAAGTACTCATCTGCTCCCAAGACCCAGGAAGTCCCCATGTCAGACACAAATTTCTTGTGAGGGGAAGGGAGGTGGGAGTCTCCAGCCCCAGAAGGAAGCGCGGGAGGCACGTGAGACACAGGCAACCCCAGAGTCACCTCAAATCCTACCTCTGCCCTAATCCAGCACTGGCCTCCCTGCTGGCGAGCACAGTGGGCCACAGAGGTTAGAGCAGGAGCAACCTGCTCACGGGCCCTCTGGGAATGACAGTGTCCTTCCCGGCGCCCCCTTCTGCCCCTTCTCCCCCTCCTTTCTCCGCTGACTCCGCCCACACCTGCTTCCCTCCAGACCCAGGCGATGCGATTCTGCAGGTGAACAACAGAGGGCGCGGTAGTGCCCACGCCTCCGGCTCAAGGGAAACTCCGCCCACACTCCCAGACCCCACCTGCCACGCAGGGCCCCCCTGCTTGCAGTTCCCAGCCCACCCGCCGGGCTGGCCTCAGCCCAGAGGAGCCAGGCGATTCCCAGGACACAGCCCAGGTCACCTTACCTCTCTGACACCGGGAGGCAGAGGCTGCTGCTTCCAAAGGGATCTCTACAGAAACTCCCTGAATTCTACTGAAGCAGGGTCCTACCCTGGGACACCAGCAGAACGAGGTCTGACACAGATGCCCTCCCTGATAGGACCTCTGTCCAAAGAGCCCAGGTTTCCAGGCCCTGCCCCATCGGTGGACCTCCAGCTTCAGGGAGCAGCCTGAAGTCCCCTGGCCCAGACCCCATGCCCACGGAGGCTTACCCGCTCATCCCCTCGCGTGGACTCGTTGTCCAGCAGGGGCTCCCCTGGAGCCTGGATCGTCACGGACTTGTCGCCGCGGCTCCCATCGCGGCTCTTGGAGCGGTGCCGGTCCCGGCGGTCTCTGCAGCAGGAGGCCAGGGGAGCGGGCACAGAAGATCAGAGGGGGGACCTGGGTCTTCTCAGCAGCCCCCGTGCACACCCACCTCTCACGCACCCCCAACACACCCTCCACCACGCACATCACCCCCACGCGGGCCCACCTGTGCTTGCGGGAGCTGCGGGAGTGGCCCGACTTGTAGGAATAGCCCGAGTACTGGGACTCGGTGTCCATGGCGTCCGAACGCCGTGCCTTGTAGCGCTCCAGGGCCACGGGCTGGGGCCTTCTGGGGGGCCCCACAGCCGCCTCCTTCAGCACCGGCTTCTTCAGGCCAAGGGGCACCTTCAGGAAATCAACCGTCACCCTGAGGGACTCTATCTTGCTGGACGGGTGGGCTTATCTCAGAGAAAATCAAGCGGCGTTCCTGAGAAAAGGAAGCAGCTGGTTAGCAGCTGGAGCTCCCTGGGAAGTCAGGGCCGAGAAGAGGACCATCCCCAAAGGGCTTCTGCAGACGGCCTCGCCACGACCTCAGAATAGTCCCTCCAGGTTCCCGCTCTGTCCAGCGCGCCCAGTTCCTCCGACCTTGCCTCCTACAAAGAGCACTCCTTGGCTGTGCCAGTGGGCGCAGGAAAGACGGCCGGCAAAGGCCACTAGGAACGACCCGACCCTGCACGCCCCGGGGCCAAGAGCCAGGGCAACGCTTTCCTTATTCTCAGCCAGGAAACCCAAGGCTCAGAGAGAGCAGGTTCTGGCCGGCCAACAGGCTGGAGCAACAGAGACCTCACAGAACAGAAGGCAGCTGGCCGCTGTCCAGGCCTCTCCTTCCCCCTCAACTCCTTGTCCCCTGACTCACGGCTTCCAAGGATGCCCACAGAAGGAAGGCTCCTGTCACCATCTTGCCAGCATCTACATCAAACAGCCGGGTCAAGCTGGCGGCTCCTCCTGAGGCTCAGAGACGGGATGTGCGTGCGTGTGCGTGTGTGTGTGTGTGTGTGTGTGTGTGCGTGCGCGCACACAGACTAGGGGACAAGATCAGGAATGGAAACTGTGGATAACGTTGGAGGCAAGCGGGGAGTAGAAGGCAGCAGGAACTATTCTCTAAAAGCCTCACGTCCGTAAACGGCAAGGTCGAGGCAAGGTCCTGGCTGTGTGCGCTCCGGGTGGCGTGCTCATTCTGCACGCTCCGCAGAGCAGAGCGAGCGTTTCCTTCTCCTGCTTCCCCACCCCCCACCCACATCCTGCCGGGGCCCCCAGAGCCCAGCCCTCCACGACCAACAGTCAACGTGGTGCCATCTCCCCTCTGTCCCTCCTCTGTCCCTCCTCTGTCGCACACACGACTCCGCCATGCACACACGCATTTCCCAGCCTCACTCGCCAGCCCGTGGTCTCACTCTCAGGGACCACCGTGCACTGTGCTCCCCGCGAGGCCCCGGGGGTACGGCGGGGACCTGACACCGCATTCCCGGGCTGAGTGGGGCAGGTGCACACTGACCGAGGAAACCAGAACTAACCACTGCAGTGATGACAGGAAAAGAGAGAAAAACCAGGAGGGATGCTCTGGGGCCCGCGACCAGAAACTGAGTGCTTCTGCAAAGTTTCTCAGAGAACATGACACCTGAGCCTAAAGGGAGAGCAGGAGCGAACCAGCCAGAGTGGAGGAGAACGGCAGGGAGGCGCGCTCGGGAAGACCAAGGGCGGCAGAGCTCGGTGAATATCACGGACCAGCAACAGCCAGTGGGACTGGAGCTGAGGAAGAGGGTGGTGACAGGTAGCCAGGGGCCAAGTTTATCCGAGATCCTGGGCCAGGCGAGGAGCTCACGTCTTATTCCAAGCACAAGGGGAAGCCTGTGAAGGATGTTAGCTGTGCGGGCAGGGACGGGGGAGACGAGAGCAGACGTGGGAACACGGGGACGGAGGCGTGCAGGCCTGGAGGTGACAAGAGCCGTGTGTGAGACATGCTGGCAGGATCAGCAGGGCCACCGGGGTCTGGCTGAGGGCAGGGAGTGCCCGCGCAAGAGAGCAGATGGCGGTGCTGTCACGTGGGGGAAGGGGGGGCCAACCCGGGGAGGAAGGCCGCGAGCTCCGTTTCCAACGGGCTGAGTTCAAGGCCACGAGACAGGCGGTCAGGGAGGCAGTGGGGTTCCTGAGGAGCCAGACCCGGGAGAGACTGAGCTGGAGGTGCTGACGGGGTGCGAGGTGGGAACGGGTGGGACCCCGGGAAGAGGAATGCGTAGGGGGCATCTGGGAATCCCAGGATGTAAGAACAGGCAAAGGGGCCAACAAGGCCGGAGGAGCAGGAGGGCCAGAAGGGCTGCCGTGGCGCTGAGAACAGGAGGGCGTTTCGAGGTCACATGCTGTCATAAAGTCAACGATGTTCAGAACCGAAATGGGCTTGCCTTCGTGTCGCCGTTAACTTTTCTCCAACTAAGCCAGGTCTTCGGCAACCGGAGAACGCGAAGCACGACCGAGACCCGGCTGTGTCCACCCCCCTCCCAGGGGCACGCGGCAAGAAACCGGCACTGACCTTGGGAATGCACCCGCTGCTCTGACTCCCAGGGAGCCCGCCATGACTGTGGGAGATGACGTCCATCCCCCATTCCTTGGCCCCCTACCAGCTCCCTAGAGGCAGCCCCGTGGCCTCGCCATGCCTGTCCATAGCCCCACGTCAAGGCAAGCAAGTGACCGACACACGTTTAGGGGACAGAGACACAGAGCCTCAACCCAAGCCGAACCCTTTCTCGATACCGTGGCCGTGAACAGGCGCCCCGTCCACAAACGACACGTGGGGCTCCTGCAGCCCAGTGCCCGAGAACCCTTCCTCCGGGCTCACATCTCCATAGGTGCCCGCCCTCCGTCTGCAGCCTATTCTCGTCCCCAAACTGAACTCCACCGTGAGGTTCAAGAGAACAGGTGGGCTCCAGACAGGGGGTGGAAAAGTGAAGGGGAACAGACCTGCCCTCGCCTGGGTCTGGACTCCGCACCCTCTCAGTCTTGCCCTTAATGCTCACATTCCCGGAGCCAGTGGCGCAAAGAGCCGGGACGCGCGTCCGAGGCTCCGCATTCAAACCCCGACTCTCCCGGCCACCCGCTCCGTGACCACAGGCAAGTTACCTAACTTCTCTGTGCTCTGCAGCCTGGTAGGCTCATCAGTACAACAGGAAAACAATGATGCGTGTTTGATGGGGCTGCTGTGAGGACCCTGGGGTGAAATGCTTCTCCGTACGGCTCAGTTAGAATTAGTTAAGGAATTAATACGCTCTGGCTCCAGGGTCGCCCACGCTCGATCCCCAGACACCTCCTCTGAGACTTGGGAGAGAGATAGTATAAATAAATCCTGCTGTTGGGACTACTAAATAAAGAAGTCTCACACGCGCACACACATGCACACACACACAGCCCTGGCCAGGACCACTTCAAACACACCCAGGAGGGAAGCCGATGCCATTGTGTTTCCCCTACAGATAAATTTCAAACCAGACAAGGGTGCCAGCCCCTCCCAGCCCTTTGTTCTGAGCTGCTCAGCCTCAGCCCCCACCTTCCTCCCAGCCACGTATTAAAGACCCAGCATACGCCCTGCTCCCCTGGCCTGCTCCACCCACCCTTCCAACCCAACTCAAGATGCCCCAGAAAGCATCCGAACGTGCTCCTCCTTCCCCTACCAGAGTGGCCCGAAGGAGCCCGGTTCTTCAGAACCTTGCCTGCTGTCCCCTCGAGCACCCAGGGAACTAAGTCTGGAGAGGCTGGGGGAGGGATGGGAGGTGAGGGAGGACGAGGGGAGAAGTTGCCCTTGTTTCCTCAGCTCAGGAATCAGGGGTCTGGAGGGTCTCCCGGGTGGGCGGGTTCCCAGGGAAGAGGGTGGGGGAGGGGAGCCCTGGATGAGACCAACAGGGGGAGAGGGGGGGGGGGGACCGGGGGGGCAGCAAGACGGGGGGGGGGGGGGGGGGGGGGGGGGGGGGGACTGGTTTGCGGTTGGGAGGCTGGGAAAGGGAACCGTGTCCTGTTGTGTTCACCTTGCCCCCACCACCAAGACACACAAATCACACTCACTCGGTTCCCTGCTCAAACCAACCATGGATTATCTGGGGTTAAAAGGAGGCCAGAGAGGAGAGAGGGAGGGAAGGGAGCCTGTCACAAAAACAAGACCCTTCTCCCCCCAAAGGCCTTTCTGAAATAAAATTAATGGAATGTGTCTCAGTACCATCCCAAGGGGATTGGGGGGAGGGGTGGGGGGGGAATGTGGGGGCTTTTGTCCCGGCTGCCCAGCTTCTCCCACATTGATCACCATGGCAACCAAAGCCCCCTGTTGCCTAGGTGATGGCAGCCGGGTCCTGGAACCCATACCCAGCATCCAAAGCGAGAGAGGTTGTGAAGGTGGGGGGGGGTGGTTAGGGACAGAGAGGGAGAGAATGGGGTTTCTCCTCTGGCAGCCCCAGCTTTTGTGTGAGCCCTGGGATCGGGTTTCTTCAGGAAACAATCAGAGGCCTTTGGAAAAAATACACTCAGAACCTGGCAACAGGCAGAGGGAACAAGGCCTTGGGGGGGGTAGGGGGGTTACAGAGGGGGAGGCTGGTGTTGGCCAAAAGGCAGACTGAGACGGGACCCTTCCCCTTTGCCCCCCTCAGAGGCACAGCTCAGGTGGGCAAGACACTGGACACAGACACGGGCACCCCGTTGTGGGGCAGGTGCTGGGGACCGACGGCCAGACGCCAGGTGGCTAGGCTCACGAACTCCTCCACCCGCCGTCTGGACCAGGGCCACCCCACCACCCAGTCCCAGCTCCTTCAGGCCTGGGGTGGGGAACGGAGGCGGGGCAGCGGTGCGGGTGGGGCTGGGGGGCGTGACTCAGCCCGGAAAGGAAAGGTGCTTGCGGAGGGGACCGGACACAAACGTGTACCTAGAGAGAACACCTGTTATTCCTCATCTCTAGGGAAGACGGGGCTGGGGTAGTAGACCAGCTGCACCGTGGAAGGTGCTTGGGCTGGACCTTCCTGCTGCGGCGGGAAGAAGATGGCAAGAGGACAGATGCCAACAGCTTTCCTGACTCTGATGAGGCAGCGCTCTCGATAGGCCCACTGTTGAGACAGAGGGCCCTCCTCTCCTCCGTCCCAGACCCGGAAGGAAGGGGAGTGATCGCCTCCTTGGACCCCTCCTACAGAGCAATCTGTGGACACTGGCCCTTAAAGGGCTGTGATCCCACACAAGAGCCTGGGTCTGACGGCCTCGGCCTCCCCCTTCCTGCTTCCACCCACAGCTAGGTGTGGACGTGTGAGTGCCCTGGTCCCGTGGTCCCTTCAGCTTCACCCCCACAGCCCCGCCGTCCACGGACATCAATGTGAGTTCCACGCCAAGTGCCGGCTGGCCACCCTCCTGGGTGGCAGCGGGGTCCTACTTCCCCACCCAGTGTCCAAAGAACTAGAAATCTGTCAAGGAAGACAGAGCACCCTACCCTGTCAGCAGGCTCGTGGGGGCAGGGCAGAGACTCAAAGTCATAACTATCCTTCAGACCGGTGGTGTCCCCTCTCTGCCATGAGACTCATCCGTGTGCTCAATCCAGACCCTGGCAACCACTGGCGGTGGGGAGAGGGGTCCGGGGTGGCAGTGAATGTGGTGCCTATCCGGCTGCCGCATGGGACAGTAAGGTACGAGAACCCCTAACTGTGCCCATGTAGTCCCCGGCTCCCTTCTCTCCCTCCTCCCAGAAGAGAACCGCATGAACCCATCCAGCACTAACTTGGAGGAAGGAGGCCTTCCAGAGGCAACCCTATGTTCCAAGATAAAAACACGCATCCCAGAGAAAGACACCTCGGCCACATCTCGGGCACGCCTGTTTGGCCTCCCCCGTCAGACCTCACTAAAGCTCTGGCTTTGCGTGCTCCTCTCAAGAGCGACACCAGGTTCCTCCATGAGACGCCCGGTCCTCGGAGTGGCCAAGACTATAAGGCCGGGATCGGGAGAACTCGCAGGGACCCCTGCCCCAGCCGCTCTTCTCACCAGTGACAAGGGACAGACCATACAGGCCCAAGCTGAGACAGCGCAGACCAGAGCCCTTCCCCTCCAGGGGCTGGTTTCTGCCCCAGCCGTCCCCCACCCACTTGAGGCTCCTGACGCTCCCCCAGCCAGTCCCCAGCCAGTCCCCAGTGGTGGACAAGCCCTCCGTCCCAGGAGGCCATGCTGGGTTTCCCCATCACAAGAAGAATCAAGGCAAGAAAGGCCAGGAACAGCCCCAGGCCCTAGACCAAAAATGGACTGGAGATGTGCTCCCTCCCCCCATTCCTGCACGTGAAAAGGGTCCCAGTGTCCCTGGGTGAGACCAGAGGGAGCAGCTGGATCTCAGAGGGCTGAGGAGGAGGAAAGGGCCGGCCTGGGAAGGCCCCCCCACCCCCACTAACCAGGCACTCTCCCAGGACAGCCCCAGACATGAGCTCACTCACCATCCTCCCAGCCCCAGGGCGGGGGCAGGACCCTTCTCCTCCCTGGGCTGAGAAGCAGGGACGGCTGTGCTTGGGTCCCCGCGGTGACTGTGCTGCCAGCGCACATGCGCACGGCCGGACCCCGGTGCAAGGAGCCCCGCTGGGGAGAGCCCACACACCGGGCTCCTGGCCAGGACACCTGAGGCTGCATCTCACGGAAAAGGAGCTGGGGGAGCCAGAGCCAAGCGCTCCTCCTCTACTTCCTCCGTTTTCCTCCATCTAAGGTCTGTCCTCCACAGACACACTGACACACAGACGCACATACACCCACACTCCTAGCCCCCTCTGAAACCGGGACGGGCTCCTGCCTGCCCCACTAGCTCCACCCGCCCCGGCCAGGCAGGTTCTGCAGAGACCTGCATGGCTTCCTCTCTGGCTCCCCCACCCCCAACCCTGCTCGCAGAACGTCTCTGTCCCCCAACACACCATGCACCCGCACCCCAGCACCCCGTTCCCTAGCCTCAGCCAGCGGAGAAGGGTACACTGGGCCGGGGGAGGGCAGACTGCAGAAAGGGTGAGTAATCATTCTGGCACCTGTCCCAGGTTGGGGGCCAGAGGGGAGACAGGGTGCCAGGCGCGGGGAGAAGGGAGCCAGGGCTTCTAGGTGCCCGGATTCCTGGTTTCATTTCCACCCAACGGGCTGGCCCCATAATTCCCACCCGCCAGGCTCCGAACTTCTTCCTCCCTCCCTCAGCTGGGGTGAAGGACTGGCCCCTACCTGCCCAGCAGGTGAGCTGTGGAAGAGCCAAGAAGGAAAACAGGCACCTCGAGTTGTCCTCAGGGACAGGAGAAGGCGGACCACAGGAGGTGAGCAGGCTGCTCACAGATCAGCTCCTGTGCGCTCCACACCCCCAGCCTTGCGGAACACAGAACGCCTCTCTCCACAGCCTACCGTCTCGGGTAGGCCCCCACGACCCTGACTCCAGGAGGCCCCCGGCCTGCTCGCCCAGCCTCTGCCATGGAGCAGGAGGTGGCAAGCGGCTACTTGGGGAGGGGATCCAGCGGCCCTCGGGCTGACATGCGGTGGGGGGTCTGGGAGCGAGGGCCACAGACTGCGAAAGCTGGTTTGTACGGGAGAAGCAGCAGGGTGGGCCTACGGGTGTGACGCAGCGGGACAGAGGGCGCGGGCGGCAGGCCTGGCTCTCCCCACTCTGGAAACCCTCCCCTCGCACTTCGGCCCAGGGACCGAGATCCGGCAAGTGGCCCAGCTCCTGTACAGGAAAACCAGGCCAGCCGACAGGCCCGCGTACCAACTGACCTCCACCATCTTGACCAAGTCACCCCCTGAGGTGTCCCTCTTCCGAAGGAGCCGGGATCGGGAGAACTCACGTGGACCCCAGCCCTTCTATCTGCCACCTCCTGTCCTGGAGCAAAGCACGTGACAAAACAAGTGTCTCTGTTCACACTCAGTTGTTTTTTAAGTTACCGCATTCACACCTCGGGCTCTGCACCTGTTCCCGTCCAACCCCCAGTTACCCTAAAAAGCCAGAGGCTCCTCCGCAGACTCACACTATCTTCTGCCCAGGGTCGGGAAGCCAGGAGCCCTCTGATGAAAGTGGAGGTCCGAGGGATATTTGGGGGGTTGCTGGAAAACACTACAAACAACAAGGCCCGGCCCCTCTCAATCACAGACAAGACCCCACGGGCTGGAGCAGGCAGCGCCCGCCACGTGTGAAGGGGCCCGCAGAGAGGAAGAGGCCGGGCCCTGGACAGGTTCTGCCCAGGCTGCAGCCCTGCCCCCGGCTCCTGACCAGGAGGTGCTGCTCTTCCAGGAGACCCCCCCAGGCCCAGCCTCAGACGCAGCCGTCTCTCCTGGAGCTGACATGGAAACTCATGTCCACCTTCCAGGAGACGGGCCAGCTATTCAAGTTCAAGATTAAAGGCAATAACGAGCAAGTCAGATTCCACCGGAAGGAGGCAGGGGCAGGCGGAAGGGGCGCTGTGGGAAACGGAAGAGCCGACATGTGGCGGACACAGCGCAGCCTCCGGGGGGCATGCCGCTCACCTTCTCTAAACCTCAGTTTTCAGGCCAGTAAAATGGAGGAATAGCACCTACTTCAGAAGGTTAAGAGTTTTCCACAAAATAACATATATAGAACATCATGGAGTCGGGAACAATAAAACGTCAGTTCCCACCTCTTCTTCCTTTACAGGGTGCACCTGCCATCATCCCACTTCCGGTTCCTATGGCCTCCTTGTGAGAAAGACCCCAGCCAGAATAAGACGGAATCACCTCTGGCTAGAGCACTGGCCCCAGCCCCCAGGGACCCCGACCTAATTCCACCACAGCCAAGCACTGACTTTGAGAGCAGCCAGAACCCCTCTTCCCGTTCTCTGTCTCCTTCCTGG